AAGACAGCAAGAAACTGTTGAACAGCACAAAGCCAGAGTTCATCAGGGCAAGCTGGATATAGACAACAAGAAACTTCTGAACAATGTCAAACCAGACTTCAAGCACAAAAATTAAGACAAATAACTTACAGAGAGAAAGAAACAGAGGAGCAACATGATGTACGACTTCAGGCTCAAAGAACACGACAAGCTCAAACATGATCTAATTTCAATTTCAAATCTAAATTTTCACTGTGCAACGCCGGGTAATTCAGCTAGTTAATAATAAAATTGGTTCAACAAGTTGTAAAATATACAATTTATATTAAAATCATCATAAGTAATGCAATAGAAAAAAAGTTATTGAAAATATTGTTTGTTTGTAGTTAAGCACAGAGCTACACAAAGGGCTATCTATGCTCAGCCCACCATGGGTATCAAAACCCGGTTTCTAGTGTGAAAATATTACGAGTAGAGTTTATAAAACACCAATCCAATGATGATGTTAAACATTCCACATGCATAAAGTCAATTTAAAGAGGAAACAGGTGGAAGTAATAAGTAATATTAAACCTGAAGAACTATCCAAACTGTATAAAGGATAAGGAGTAACAAAATTTATTACATTAATAAAAAAGACTAAAAATATCAACAATTGTAACTACAGCAACTAAAGTTCTTAACATATACTAATACAACTAATGATATCAATCTCTACTCAATAAGGAGCCATTACAAAGTTTATAATAGCTTGTTTCACATAAAACTAACAGTAGTCAACATACTAAAGTTATTCCTTTCTCTAAAATTAAAAGCAATAAATAAAAATAATCATTTAAAACAGAAGCAGTTGTAATAGTTTGATAATGTTGTGTTATTCTGCATAATATATTAATCCTTCAGGTACATACAAAAATATTGAATTTTCCACAAAAACTGAATAAACTTGGTGTACACAATGTAGTAGGAAAAAACCTTGCTTGTTTAAAATAATGACTTTAGTGTCCATGAAATCGTTTGTTGGAAAGAAACTATGTGCGAGGAGAAAACAATATAGCATAACTTAATTAAAATATCAGTATTAGAAAATGAAAAAAATTATACTGTTGTCTCCAAATCAAATGTCTGTTTATTTAACCCTTTCAGTGAATTTGGGAAATATACATCCCAGCTGCAGTGAAAGGGTTAAAATTTTGAGCTTGAACATTTGATTAATTGTGCTTATACCCAAATCCAGGCCAAGTTCTGGCAGATAAAAATGCAGTTACAAGACCATGATAATTTGGAAAAATATATCATTACTTTATCTACAAGCATGACTAATGTGTAAAGTTTGGTTACAGACTTAATATATCACTACTTTATCTACAAGCATGACTAATGTGTAAAGTTTGGTTACAGACTTAATATATCACTACTTTATCTACAAGCATGACTAATGTGTAAAGTTTGGTTATAAACTTAATATATCACTACTTTATCTACAAGCATGACTAATGTGTAAAGTTTGGTTATAAACTTAATATGTCACTACTTTATCTACAAGCATGACTAATGTGTAAAGTTTGGTTAAAGACTTAATATATCACTACTTTATCTACAAGCATGACTAACGTGTAAAGTTTGGTTATAAACTTACTATATCACTACTTTCTCTACGAGCATGACTAATGTGTAAAGTTTGGTTATATATTTTTTTTCTGAGTTAAAGTACAAGTTAAATAAATACAAATGTTAAACTTGTGGGCTGAAGGTACACCCATAGGCATTCCCCGCATTTACTAAAAGATATGTTCGGCAAATTGCATAAATGTGCTCCAAAGTAAAAATATACAGCATGTAAAAAAAATTGTGTGTATAACAGTGATACTTTTCATCAATAACATTACCACAGAAACATTTGTGTTTACTAATACAAAGCATTAGTTTAACAGAATTCTTAAAACACACAGAAATTGTTGAAGCCTTTTTAATTTTATCAATATGAAAATTAGTACAAAGATTATTGAATCTTAAAAGTTTTGGTTATTTTTGTGAAAATATCTAATTTTCTTTTTCGTATTCAATGGAATTACCAATGATAATAAAAGAATTAATATCAGTTCTTTCCCTAATGTGATTACAGTACCAGTTTAAATGCTTTTTAACGTATTTCAAAACTTGACAGATAAGAATTGATAAATTATTAGTAGCAGCTTTTCTTTAAAGGAATTTAAAATAATTTAGATATAAGATTACAAGAATGATGAAAATGGGAACCAAAGGCTAACAAAGTTATTCTTTTGTAAACAAAGTTATTCTCTTAATACACACATTCCTTCTTATCTTAAGGTTTTAATGTTTTGTAGTATATTTTTGTATGATACTTTATATATATATATATATATATATATATTATGTTTTTACACCTTAAACATGACCAATATTGAGGCATATTTACAAGTGCTTTTTATACATCAATTACCATTGGTAGCACCAGATGTCATCATTTCAGTATCTGAAATGTCAAATCCACACCATAGGAAGGAGAATATCCCCCCCCCCACCCTTTGATAGACATTTACTACACTTTGTTATCTTAAGGTTTTTAACATTTGTAGATTAAACTCTAGTTCTTTAAATAAAACTGTAATATAACTTGTTCTACAAATGTCAACAAGGTTGTTGGTAGCTGTACTAGTAGGAGTAATGATGCATCTATCATACAAAGTATCTAAATTTTAGTAAAACATTTTTGTGTTTTATTGTTCATTGTTGTTTATAGTGACATTTTGTAATCATCCTATGTGATTATAGGTTAGGTCTTCAACTCCAGAAACAACAATTCTTTGAATTAGTTTACTTATTAAGTTGTCTTTTTTTTATGCCATTTAGGTAAAACATTACTGAAGTTACTTATTAATGTCTTGTTTTGGGAAATTCAATGTAACTTTGATACTTCCCTGAAATTTTAGCATGTTGGTCATTAAGAGCTATAAATTGTCATGAGCTATAGTATCAAGGTTACTGGTGAGAACATGGTTAATAAAAGGCAATGACTTACATTTACAATGGGACAATGTTGCTTCTTAAAAATAGCAGCAAAATAAAACCATTTTGATATTTCAAGTTCCAGTCACACACAAAAAAAGAACATAAAGCTAAGCATATACAAAACTTTGCTTTGGATAAATAATATCCTGAGCACCTCTAAAAGATGTGCAGAAACGATAAAAAGAAAAACATGATGGTATTAAGAAATTACTATCTCTAACTAAGTGTAAGTTATCCTTAGAATTGATTATAAGTTACAAAAATATATAAAAATGAAAAATATCAAGCTTCCATAATGATTACAAGTTAGTGATATCTGCTTATGCATATTTGTAGTTTTTTTCTTATACATATCTAAAAATTTAGAAATTAAAACTGTGACAATACCTTATGAGGACGAGTAAAGAAAACAACAATCCATAGATACATAGGAAGTAGGCACAACCACAATGATGGCTGTAAATGATGACCTCTTGGAATATTCAAAACAAACCTAAGTAAGACCTGAAAATAAGAGCAGGTTTAAACAGTTTCAATTACTAAAAAAATTTCAAGCTAAACACCAGTACAACAATTACCTGTATACTTTCTAGAATTGTTTTTGAATTAATAAAACATATTCTCATTAATGTAACCACATCGGATACAATTAAAAAATAATTGGAGTTTATGCTATTTTAGCTATGAGAAATCAATACAAATGTCATAAAATAATGTCAAAAAGTTAAATTTTACCCACACCAAAAATCTGATCCATCACATCATTTCTCATTCACTCTACACCCATAAATATCATTTGATAAATGTAGTCGTACATCTTTAAATTTCATCACATTTCACTTCAATATTAAAGATGATTCCCACATATGTAAAGGATAACCTGGTACTGATGTTGCATACTTAAAATCAGAATGCTAGTGAGGTCCTCAAGTGTCCATGACTACTCCACTGAATGAGCTGTTTTTAAGCTATCTGTAGTGTCTGGAGTTACTTGGTAGAGTGTGACACTGTTTCTAAGAACATAACTTACATGCACGATGAAACTGAAGGTGGCTGACCACTCACCACAGTTATTCTCCATTCTTCAAGAAATGTGTTGATCAGTTTAGTATGATAGATGAGAGTTACCATCCATTAGGCTGGAGTCAGGTTTTAATAGTTTATAAGTAATTAGTAGAGCTTGGTACCTTTACTCATAACATTTCCAAAAAAAATCCACTAGGTTCAGCTAAAGATTTATGTTAGTCCTAAATCATACTACAGATCTACGGCAAAAAATAGTTGTTCTATATGTATTCTATAAATAGCAAAATTATCTAAAAAAAACTCTTAAATATAAAATTTTGTAATGTTTAACTAAAGCTAATACAAACTAATTATTTAAATTTGGCACCAATATATTCACAGATGAAACCATGCAGTGTAACACACAAGACAGTGATGTTTCAAGTTAGGGATTAATTGAATGTAAAAAAACACAAAATGACTCGATACATTGTTTACCCTATAAGGTAAAGAAAATGTACCTGGGCATTTTTCTGGTGAAATCAAATAACAGTCAAAATTAGCAGAGCTTACATTTCAAAAGTGTGACAGTCTATGTTAATTCAGATAATAATCTTTATGTTATCCATATACAGAGAGTATATAAAAAAAAATCATACAGAAAAGACTAAATCACATATTCCTTGTCTTTGATATACATGTTTCTTTTTAGAGCAAAGCCACATTGGAATATCTGCTATGTCCACCGTATGGGAATGAAACCCTGAATTTTAGCATTGTAAATCTAAAGATTTACTGCTGTTCCACCATGGAACAAAAGTTATAAGACTAATCAAAGCTAATTGGATATATTAAAGCTGTCCTACCCTAATATCACATACAAATGTTTTTTTGCTTCTCAGAAAAACCAGAATTATAATACTGATTTTATTATTTAAGCTTCAACATTAATTTTAGTATCAAATTTTAAACAAAAATATAAGAAGCTGAGAATTTTTGTGACATCAGTTTGGTTAACCAACACAAGAATTTCTGTAACTTTTCTTTAATACATGTGACTGTCATTGATATCAAATTTTTGTTACAACTTTCTCCTGTACTATTTTACTTTAAAAAATAAAACTAAACAAAAGTATATGCATATATATAACATGGATAAAAAAAATTTCTTGCTACTCAAATTGCTCAAAACTCTTTTGAGACAAACTAAATGATTTACAATTGCAAAATTCAAAATAATTTTTGGAAATCCCATAAGTTAACTGAAAATGTATTTCCAATAATACTAAGCAGTATATTCTAGTCCAATAGCCCTAGCCACCAATGTGGGATATAGGTACTACGACCCCTTAATTCCAACCCCGAGTTGTGGAACTTCAGCTATCTGGTTGGGGCTGGCCTATACTGACAATTACTCATATTCTATTCCACCTTTGATATAGGAACTAAGTTCCTGGTGAAGAGCATACCTGTTCTGGATGTGGTGCAGTTCCCCCACTCTTGTACCATCTTTATCTTGGTACACTCCAGTTCTATACAGACACTTTCTGTATGGTTCATGCCTACACTGGCCTCTCCACCTTTCCAATGTGGGATCCAAGCTACAGTGTCAGTGGAAGTAAGTATGTTTTGGAAGTTAACATTTTCTTAAACTACCTCTCCACTAAAAGCTGGTTTATGTCTTGAAAAAGTGATTGCATTATCTGAATGAGGTGCTTATATAAAGTAACTAGATAGAGGGCACATTGAAGTTGGTGAAGTTTTGGAAATTAGAATTTGCCAAGGGCAATCGAGTGGGGTATAAAAGACTGGAGCAAGCATTTTCAATGCTTAGATGGGCAGAGAGTGGAAATCCTGGAGATCGAGAAATAGCTATAGTGTCAGCAGAGGTATGTTTTGGAATCTGTGTTTTAGCACCTGCTTTTAGGTCCCAATCAGTGAGGAATCTTCATGGTCCACCACCCCAGTAGCTGGTAAGTGGCAAAGGACTCCTATGCTCCACTCAAAGGGGTGGGGGAGAATTTGCATAGGGAAACTGACATAATGTGCACAGATTTCCATTGATTTTTCAGTCCAGAAAGGTATTTCACTAGAGACAGTGCAATGAGTAACTACAAAACCATATTTTTAAAAAACAGTGAGCACTAACAAGAAAAGCATGCAGAAGCACAACTCTGGTGCTAGCTTTTTCCAGGATAGTCCATGGAATTGGTACAGTCTGGACTGGACTGGAAAAAGTTGTATATAAATACCAAGAATAGAACTCCAGTGGTCTTGCAGTGGTCACTGTTTGGGCCAAGACAGATGGTCTGAGAGCTTTCCATTATCCTGGCCTGATGCAGAATTTGGATAAGCGTAATCTGTGAGGCAACACTAGCTGCCTAGTGGGATCCAAAAGTTTAAGAATGGTGAGAAAGGAATAAGTAAATCAATACTCTCACCTGTTACAGGTTAATTGAAGATTGATTGTTGATGGAAGTCTGTATGCTACTGGAGACAAGACAGCCAAAAGGAGGAGATAGTTTAATGCCAGATGAATTATTGTGGGTTAGTCCACATGCCAGCTTGGAGAAAAGGAAGGGAAGCTGAAGAGAGGAGACTTGAGAAAGCATACAAACATCTACTCTAAGAGGGGCATATACAAAATGTATGAGTTGGCAGATCCAATCTGTAATGTGGTAAGGAGAGAGGCTCTAGGTAGAAGAGGAGTCCCAGTTATGAAAAGACAATGAAAGAAACACAAGGAGGAAAAGAGCGACAAAACAATGAGTGGCCCAGACAGGACAATAACAGTTGTCCAAAAGAGAAATAACACCTAGAAAAGAAACTGAAGGAGGGAATATAGGAAAAAAGGAGTGAACACTTTCTCCTTCCACAGAATATGAGGGAAGGAAAGACCAGCCAGGACAAAGGAGAAAAGAAGAGTGGTAAAGAGAAAGCAGGAGGAAACAAGGGCATAAATATATGTACAACAGCAAATAGGAATAGGATGTGTGTGTCCAGCAAGAGCATATAGAACCACAATCAGGCACGATGTAGGAGAGGGGCAGTGGTAAGGAAGGAATGAAAGAAGCACAGAAGAAGGGAAACTATGACAAAAGGAAAGGTGGAGAAAATGCTACCCTAAAGCACAAGATAAAAGAGACTGAAAGATCATGGGAGAACCATCTCATGAAAGGGGAGAAATATGTGACAATGTAATGAGATCAAAGGGAAATGGCAGTAAAGAGACCAAGGTAATAAGTACATCCTATACAATGGCATACAGAGATAGAAGGGGAATAAGAGTGAGACAAATGGACAGCTACATGATCAGAGAGGTGTACTGGAAATCCCACATACAATGATAGAGGGATGTCATATCCTGAGGAAAGAGCAATGTATATGGGTGGACCAGAAGGGACGGAAAGTTGGGAAGGTGAAGACAGGGCTGAGACTCGAGAAAGAGGACTAATAGAAACAAAGTTGAGATAGACTGTGAGGGACCCCTAAGTGGGTGTCCCGAAACTGAGCAAGGACCATAGAAAGGATATGGAGAGAAGGACATGGTTAGTAAAAAAAAAAGATACAACAGACCAGACTGAAGCCATAAACAGTCAGGGCTCAGAAATGAGGCACAGGAGACAGAATATAGGAAGTTAGCAAAGAGGGATGTGGCAAAGTTAAAAAAAGAAGGAACAATGAGAAAGCAAAACAATGGTAAAAATCGGTAAAATCAGTGGGTGAGACACCAATCCATGGGTAAGATGTGGTCCTGTCAAGAAGATAGCCTGCAACGACATGCAGTACCCCCAGAAAACCACAGGATATGAACACATTCGAATGGCATAGGCTCAGAACCAAGTCTGAACGCTATCGTCTAGATATGTATGTAAAGAAGTAAGGAAAGAAAATTAAACCTTGTCTACTAAGAGTACATGTTAACAAGTAAGTAACCACATCTAAACACTAACTATGAGAAAAATGGTATGGAGTATACAATTATGTCAAAACCCTATCTGCTAATGTTACATGAAGTAGTAATTCACCAGACCTAATCTTTATACACTATGGGAACATGTTAACTCTCTCACTATAAGGGGCATTTTTGAGACTTCAAAGTACTCAGTGTAATATTCACAAGGGGGGTCCATTAGTATTGATCAGCTATAAAATTTCGAATTTATTTTCATATTAAAATACAATAAATAAATACCTTTCCTATATACAATATACATGTACATATAAATATATAAAAAAAAACAATTTTGAGGAAACACCTTACAGTCTGTTATTTGTTATATTACTAGAGGGGCCAGTCGGTGCATTGCATTGACGTTAAAACTCCCCTGCTCACTATGCGCACGGCTGAGTTCATGACCTCAAATTGACCTTTATAGTTTCCATACTATAACTTTTAATATGTGTTGTGAATCTTCACAAAATTTTGCAAGCTTTCAGTAGTCATTAAGAGCCTTTTGCAGACAAAAAATCAGAATTGTTAATGAAGCAATTGTTCACTGCTCTGAGTAGAAAGTGATTTTCACGTTAAGATTAAAAATATTTTGTTTCATTTGCATAATCTCTAAAGCCTCCTAAATAAATTTCAAACGTTTTTTTTCACCAAAATATTATATTTTATATGTTATTTTCTCTACCATAACTTCATATAAGATTGGTAAATGAGACCAACCTCATAACCACAAAAAAAATATTCACATATAAATCTACTTTTCTCTTTCTAGAATGATTTCTAATTGTAGCACGAAACTACATTTGTTTATTGTAAATAGTTTTAAACTCGTATACTTAAATTTTATCTTTCTATTGCCCTTCGAACCATGTCTAACTACTATTCCCACCACACAAGTTGTAAATCACTTGGTGAACATTTAGCTCATGTTACCCTATCAAAATACAGTAATGCACAGGCTACTCACAAGCATACCATGTGAAAAATTATCATCATTTTTCTTTATTTTACCTAATCTAACATTTAACCTAGAAAGTTTCTAATTTTTACATTACCATTAAAAAAATAAAGAATACACATGAAAAACAAGAAATATAGTACCTACCTGGGTCTTCTTTTTTTTTGCCGTAGACTGCATGTGAAACTGAACCCTACTTTTCATACTAATGGTACTACTGCACTAAATAATGTACTAAGTAGCTTACATTAAATTTTGTACTTCATGGAGGGGTGGTAAATAAATTAGAGAAGAGGGGATACTTGGAGAGCAAATGTCACACAAGATGTGTGGGAGAGATGGAAAAAGAAGATAAAGGTGGCAACATGGACCCCACCATATATTGGACAAGATAATGTTACTCTTCTTCTTACTGTATTTATCAACCTGAGTGGCACTTTTCATAATACATGATGCCTGTCATGATCTCAACAGGCAGAGAACTTCCTAAGTTGTTGGTAGGTGTGAGAGATATTTGTACTCACATCAGCAGAAAAATATTTCATGATAATCTGTGAATTCGTATTGAAAGGTTAAAAATACAACAAAGTAAGGTTATTGAAGTGTTGACTTCAATAACTCTCCACAAAAAAAAAAAGTGTCTTAGCACAACTGTGCTAAGGAAGAGAATGACGATTTTCTTGTGTAATGTAGAGAAGCATTTGCACAAGAAGGTATGTCACACTCCTATTGGTGGAAGTTTTTGCTGCATCATAAGTCATCACACAGTAGTGCAAATTCATGTGTTTTCATGTGAATTTTAGATGGAAGTTTCACAAGGCTGGTGGTATGCAAATTTCTAATGCAGAATAACATAACTTCAAGAGGAAAGCAGCTAATCTGTGCACAGAGGTGAGTCATCTTATCGGAATTGTTTCATACTTGTCAGCTTGCTTGAACTTAGAATAATAAATACTACTTTTAGCATATAATTTTTGTATAAAGTTAATTATTTTTTCACAACTGAAACTTCATATCATGCAAAAAAATTACAGAGTGCAGCGATGTTAAAATTTAAGATTATCAGACATTGTAAAGAAGTGTTACAAAGTATTAACACATTTTCTGTAACTTAAAGTTATTTTGTTTGTTGCAAGGTTAATAGAATTCCAATTTGTTATCCATGAAAAGCTACTTGAAATCACCAAAAAGTTAAAAGTAACTGGAATAGAAAACCTAATAAACATCCTATATACTCATTATATTGTTGAATTTTGTTCATTTTAGGTATTTGTTTGATACAAAATTTTTGATAGTTTACAAGATAATGGTGAAATTAAGTGTTAAAACAACAAACTTTGCAATTTTTTTTTCAAAATATTCTCAAGCTCCACATGTTAAATTTGCATTTTTTTAAAATAATATACTTACCAAAACAAAGTAAGCAACTATTGCAGCTATGAAGACGAAGTTAAAGTTCAAAAACCCATTCACAAAGTAGAAATACCATGGTTCAATTCCTTTAAGAAAAACAGAGAATTTTTAAAATTTATTCACATAAATTACAAAAAATGTTGCATCACATTAATTGCTTATGTTAAGTACAAAAAGTTTGTAATTCTGTGTTGAGATTTATGAGTAGGTAAAATGTTTTTCACAAAAAAAATTTTTTTTAATTCAGTTTTCAAAACTTCAAATTTCAGAAATTCTGGATTAACTTTATTATGACTGGTGTGAAGGTTTCTAATCCAGAGTGAACATTCGCATATAAAATTTCAAAACTTAAGTAGAAATATTAATCCTAAGTCTATATCAACATTTTAACAACTGATATTTTATAAAAATACCCTGAAAAATTTTGTAATTTGCAAAGGAAAACAACAACATTAACTTTGATCTCTGCACAGTTCCAATAACACCTTTATACTATAGGTTAAAATAGGTTTATATTTACTGAGAAACAGTAACCGTTTAGAAATAGAATCATGCATGTTTTGTTTCTCATACCACTTTCCTTTACCATCAGTGATTTTATAAAACCCTGTGTGATCAACCTTTTATGGAGTCACTGAAAGTGGGTTGGACAGTAACTGATAAATCTTATTCTTGACTAAAAATGATTGGATTGAAATGATTTCTGTATTTATGTCAATGTAAGGTAAATAAAGTGGGGTAAGCAGTAATTTATGGTTTCTGAGAAAGTGAGTAGCAAAAATTCTTATACTGTAACAATGGATTCTAGTACAAACCTCATAACTTAGGAACAACCTACAAACCTTGAATTTTATTAGTTTTTTTGTCACATTTTTTTTCCTTTGTTATAATAATTTTGTGTCATGTATGTTTGAAAGCTACAGGGTTTGTTTTGCTGAATTATGTGTATAGCTACTTAAGGGCTATCTGCACTAGCCACTCCTAATTTTGAAGTGATAGAGACTAGAGGGAAGACAACTATTCAAAGCCAGATTCAAAGGCCTGCATGCTAACAACTGGGTTATTAGTAAAGTTATTGCAACTTAAACAATAAATAAAAGTATAAAAACTCTTTAGTTATTGAAAACAAATAATAATTATTACAGAGAAATTCCGCTTGTCCAAAAATATAGTTGGAAATAATTCTGCTTACATTATTCTAGGCCTGGGATAAATATATGCTTTAAGTTTTTTGCAAGGTTTTATAATCAATTTAGAAATGTTTTATTAGATAAATATTAAATGAGGGAAAAAACCTTTTTGTCACTAGAGGTAGTTAGCTACCTATAATATTTAAGTAAAAAATTATTCAGAATAGCCAGGACTGGAAAGTCAAACTTCAGGTAGCTTGGCTAGTTTCAGCTATCACGTGCTATACATAAATAATGTGAAAATATGAACTACTTAAGGTAGGTCTTGTAGTTTTTTTTAAGATCTTATATAAAAAATGCCATTTTTAGAAAAGGGTGGAGGTTGGGAGTAATATGTAGTAGAATTAGGGTGGTTATTATTCTACTTTAAGGATTTTTTAGAACTTTTAAGGGTGGAGGACAGTAGGCATTGTTTAGTAGAAATATTTTTTGGGTGGCTTGATTTTATCTTATTTCTACTTTTGACTTTATTACATCTCTTTAAGGGTAACTGCCTTCCCACAACTGACTGCAGACAGTGTAAGGCAGTAACAGTTGAGACATTGTGGGTGTAAGAACGCAACTCTGTACCTTTAATGAATTTTAAATGACTGCTAACTGGTTTCTCATCTACTTTTTGGATTTTGTCTGATATATGAGATTTTCCCAATGCTTTTGGGTGATATTACCACAGGTAATCTCCATTATGACTTTTGTTTTATGACCAGAAAGTGCAATGGTTTTTCGAAATAGTTTTGATTTTTTTATATATACACACACACTCACAAACCCAGATATATATATACATATATAATAGATGAAAATAACACACTAGAACTAAATGAACAATTTTTTGTTTTTTATATTTTCCAACAGTTACATTCATTGTAAGTAAAAGCTTGTATGAAGACAAGAAAATTAGCACACTGTTACTAAAACAGTTCTGTTGGATATATTTATACGATCATAAGCACACAATAAACAAAAGTGAAACTAGAAGATGTTTTAAAAACAGCATTTCATAACAAAATTTCCAAAAATTCACAACCTAAAATATTATACACATACTATACCAAGTTATTTAATGCTTTTCAGCTCAAACTAGATATTATATAGAAAAATGTATACTAAATTTTGTGTAATTAGGTTAAGCATTTGAAGTGTGAGAACAAAACAAACAGGATGTCACAATATCACTCTGCAATCCAAAAAGCATGAAGCCTTCATTACATTTCAAATATTAAATATCTTAAGAAAAACACTAATACATTAAACCTTTATTATTAAATGTATTTTCTTCTGTCTCTTTAATTTTCATTAAACCATGCAAGCATACCACTCGATGTTAACTGACACTTTGCTGCCATCATGTTTCTCTTTCTATCCCCTGTTTATGGTCTTTTACATGATGCAGTCCTTCAGTGTGGTAATCTAACCAATCTCTTTTAACATAGTATACAACCCTGTTGCTGACAGAACAGAACAACTTCCTTCCATCCACACTAAGCATATCTTTCCTAGATTCTTTGATTAAATCTTCAGGCCTAACTATGTTGGTGTCTTCAGGTAAATGTAGATATTAAACAAATATAAATGGAAGCATATACTTCACTCACACATACAGGAGTGGGAACAAAAAACCTTCACTACAGCCGGAAACACACGTGACTGTTTTATCTTCAAAAACTGAAGTGAAGGAAAACATACACTACTTAATTTAACCAACTCTTATTAAAATCAGATACAAGTACGTCATTTTGAAAACTTAGGATCATTTCAGAAATTTGCAATAAACACTAGACCTATTTATGTGATATCTATTTTTTTGTAATAGATGTAGGAAAATGTAATGAATATTTAATAAAAACTGTAGTTTTAAAATGTTGTACAATTCAAACTTGATTACTAATTTCATCAACGTATACATAAGCTAAAAACTTTTTTAACTTTTGTTTTGAAATTTTAGTTAGAGTTAAGATATTTTTAATCATCTAGTTACTCTACAATTTTATCATTAAATATATTTATATTTCATTTGTAACAGGTAAACATGGAAATTTAGCTGAATCACTTAGATATGTTTAAAATATTTAATAACTATGGAAATGAACAAATGCATAGGAAGAATGCGGTAGTGCATGGAATATCCTAAACTCACGAAAACATTTCACAAAGACATTAGGATTATTTAGATTATAAATACCGTTAAAGCAATTGTGTAAAGTAAATGAGAATTATGGCACTACAGAACAATAATTAATCATAATATGGATACAATACCTAAGCTTTCCAAGAATAAATAAATCTGGAGCCCATCAAGAGACATGAAAAAACAATAAATGTTATAAAATCTGTCCCAAACAAGACCTAAACACAGGGTCCTGAACTCTCATTAGTCTCGTACTTTAAGGCTGATGCTATACCAACTCACCATCCAGACTGTTACAATCTCCTATACACTCTGTTAAGCTTGTCCTTGGGCTGACCTGATGCAACATACCAATCTCATACTGACAACACACACATACTAAGTGTGTATATAAAATGTGAATATCATTTATTCAGTTCAGATGGCATCAGAATAGTCTAATCACTATCTGTGTGCCAACATAGCTAATTAAGACAAAAAGAACCAAAGAGTATCGATTCACTCTAGTCTTTTGAAACTATTACTCCACTCAGTTAAGCCTCCAGGACTTCACTTTAATGGGTAATTCCCTATCCTATCATTATAATGTGCTTACATTATGAAAACACCTTACAAAAGTTCCAGATACTTGTATCATGTAAGAATTACATTTTTAATGTTGCACTTACAATTCCAACAGAATATGTTTTAGCAACTTCAACTAATTTTCAAGTTTTCTTTATTAATGAAAAGTAATTTGAATTTATAATACAAAGTAATTTTAACGTGTAATGATACATAATGTCGTACACTCCGACAAAAATTCATCAATAATGGATATAGTAATACCACATTCGACAAGACACTTCAACGATACCTGGACAGCCGCCAAAAAAACACCACTACCGACAACTCCAATGAACAACTCAAAGTCTACTATATAAACCAATTCTCCACTGCATACAAGATAGACGAACGGATT